CAGTACCTCTATCATGTGTGCTATTGTCACAGAAAACAAGGTTAAAAATACACATCTCATAATTTCTACACACTAGTTCCATCAACCTATACAGAAATTTTCTATGTTAATCATATATAATCACAAGATTTCTTAAGCAGCTGTTTTACTTGCATGCGCCCAAATACACTGTCGTTACCCCTCACTGCCACTCATTCTCGATCACCATTTGTTTTTAATATTTAGTGATATTGTTGTGCATATGTTTACTTAAGCAACTCAGTGCACTGCAATCGATCCATAATTATCATGTACTATCACGTTATTTGTTAATCATAATCGTGATATTGGAGTTTACAATATTGTGTGTGGAAAACAATCACATAAAAGCAGAAAACACTTCTGCCCCGTGTGAGGCTCGAACTCACACCTTCAGATTATGAGACTGACGCGCTGCCTACTGCACCAACGAGGCCTGTAAACAATAGACCCTCAGAATTTCTGTGGGTGTTCTACTGAATCAAGGGGTTCATATAATCAAACAGAATGAAATTATTTTGATCAGTATAATGCAGGGCAACCTTTAACCATGTCACACCATAGATTTATCAGTGTATTTTGTACTGGGTTGCCATGCGCTCAAAATATTAGTATTACTATTAGATACGACTGTAACCAAATATCTTACATAGCTAAGAATAGTCTGAAACACTGTTTCCAATAAGCGCAGAATGTGTTTCACTCATTTAGGGAGTAAACACTTCAGATTGAAATGTAGTTCATCTTCACCTCCAGTAAAAGAAAGCAGGTAAATGATTATTATAGAAAGCAGATAAATGAAGACGGTGCAGCTTACTGTAGTTATTCTTACAGTTATTCCAACAATTTAATGATTAACTTTGAACAGCAGATGGTTTGACATCAACAGAGAGAGAGAGAGAGAGAGAGACAGACTGTTTAGTGACACATGGAGGTCAGCTATGTAAGGGTTTTTTCACTAATCAGTGATAAGTGTTGGTCAAACAGGGGCCCCCACCTCCACACTGACCACTGGCTGCCAACAGCGAGGAGTAGTAAGTGGGTCACTGGGGCACACACAAACACAAACAAACACACACACATAAACACACACAAACACACACACACACACACACACACACGCACACACACACGCACACACACACACGGCCTAACTGCACAAGCTCCAAACTTTTTAGCGTGCAAACACTCACACTAACAACTACACGTAAGAAATTGCAATGGAAGTCACTGCAAGTTGAGAGAAAGAGGGTGATGAACGTCAGTAACCTAAATCAGTGTCTCTGTGGAACTGAGCACAAAAGCTTTGGTGTGTAAGAAACGGCTTGAATGTGTACCAAGAACACATGACTGTTAAACTTTTGTTACTAGACTGGGCAAAATCAACCACAAATGAGGGCACAACCACCTAAAACCTGCCCCCAAATTCAGCTTGTTTTACAAACGTAAAAAAGCTTGCTGGCAAAACCTTATCGTTGGCTAATGGAACTGTTTTTCCTATGCAACAATGCATCATATCGCTGCCTTCGGAACAAAACCTCGTATCTCCATTTTTGTCGTTTTTCAGTTTTTCTCATAATCTGAAAATGCCTGTTGTCCTTTATATTGTGTGTAAATTTCACGATGAATAGACCAAAATAAACGGCCCAAAATTACTTGGGCAAAAATTCTGGTTCCATTGACTTCAATTAAAAGTAAAGTATGTCTTTGGCTTCTTCTGTAAAGTTACCACATGTGACATGGTTTTGTTCCGACAGCAGCGATATGTAAAAATAACACATTCAACCCACATCTACATACTTAACTGGAGTGGTTTTTGGGGGACTTTTCTGCAATGATAATTTCTATCCATAGGCCAAAAACCCTAACCACAGGCTTGTTGTCCGCTGTACAATGTTGATGGGTGCACTATCATCACCTACATCTGGACTCATTTAGAAATTTCACACTCAGTTTGTTCCTATCCTAATAAGTCTACGTTTAGCAAAAAAATTCTCATGGTTGTTCCCAGACGTGCTCTACTCAGCACTTCCTAGGACTCAAAAAGATATAAACACACATACACACACTCACACATCATAAACAAAGGTAGTAGACTAGCCCAAACTCATATTCAAGTAAAAATATTGTTACTTTAATCATATAATGTAAAAGTATCTTTCCAATGAGTTCAAGTACAAAGACAGTATGTTCAAAAACTTAAAAAAAAATAATAATTACAGAACAGCAGTGAAATTTCTTAAACCCAGTACATCCAGCATATATCAGATTCACATTTGCTCTAAAATAAACCAAAAAAACAGACACTGTAACCAGTGTAATGCAATGAAATTCAATAGAGATAAAGAATCACTAGCTAAATGTTAATGACTAAAATGTAATTGAGTAAAACCTGATGTAGATTCACTTCCTCACAAATGTGCTTGAATTATCGTTTAAAAATACTCAAGAAAGCAAAAATTCATTCAACTTTTACTACAGAATATGTAACTGAGCACATGCAGCTAGTCACACAAACACAGATGTCTCCTGTTGAGTCAGCATCAGTCTGCTTCTCTCTCATAAAGTCACTTCCTCCTATGGCAAACTCGAGGTGGTCTGGTACTGAAACATTTCACATCATTTCCTCCAGGCACACCCAAACAAACATATGTCTGCCACATATACATCAACACACTACTATGGCTGCTTTCTTCCAATTTGTCAGAATATGTTACTATTTTTACTTACTTTTTAATCCAACAACAACTGCAGATTTCAGTATCAGTACAGCCCTGGACTGGCTGGCATGGAGACCCAAACAAAACATGGATTCATGTGAAACAGCCAACCTCACACAGGCCTTGGCACAGCCATGACTCCCCTTTTGAATGAGTACTGCTCAAAACAGAGTTTTGCCATCTGTGGCCTAAACTTACTCCCACTCATAACCATTCATAGCATTACTGGCACAGTTACCAATTACTACCATTACTGCTACCATTAGATTTCATTACTGTTAGTAATCACTACCATCAGCTATCATAACTCTCACCCACCAACACAGTTTCTCATTGCTTTTAGCTTGTATAACTGTTAACCACCAGTACTGTTACCATTAAGTATGCATGATGATATCAGTTAGAAACATCAGACAGATGTTTACACAGGACAAATATTTCAAACTAATATTTAGGCTAATAAAGCAGTTATTGTATTCTAGAAACACATATTTCTCTGTAATGCTAACTCAGATTGATTTAGTCCCAAACTCTAAGTTTCATGAATATAATTTAGTGCTTTTACATGCATAATCGAATTTCTGCAGTTATCTGATTATTCAAACGGTCATGTAAAAACCATATTCCGATCTAGAAAACTGCTTAAGAAATCTGATAAAGAGAGCTGGATTTTAGCACAGTAATCAGATTTCTTCAGTGCATGTGAACTCTTACTCTGATTTCTTTCCTATTTCTCAGTCTGCGCATGTGCGAAACTGACTGCTGAGATGGCAGCAAAACACTTTTGCAGAGGCACTGAAACCAACTACATTCTCGACGAAATGAAGGACTTAAATATTGTAGATGAGGTATGTTCACATTTTCAGGTAAAGTGGTGCAACTTTTGTTTTTTTAAGCTGCAGCGTGAAGTTTGAGTTTTACATTACGTTTACGTCACGTCTTCTTCGGTGAGTTTATTGGCTGGTTGCAAAGCAGAAATCTGATTACTACCTGACTCATGTAGACCCAGAGTTTCCCATTATCTGATTACTCAAGTGCATATAAACGTGTTGATCGGATTACTGACAAAATCTGATTTTCTGCAGTTATCAGATTATTAAGTGCATGTAAACACACTCACTGTTTATGTATTGGCATCAGAATTGACACACCGGATATCAGAAATCCCATATCCGTTACCATCCCCAATAGCTACATGGTTATATGTGGTTTAGTTCCAAAGCGCATGTCACTTCCATGATATCACTTATATCACATAATAATACCACTTATATCACAAAAATAAATGTGCATTTCTGACCAAGCGCATTATACATCAGCTTTTCAAATCTCTTGCTGTCACAAATGCATGTACAGCTTTTTGGAATTCAACTCTTCATGCATACACGCGCATATGTTTTGTGTAAAAACACATATAATCTCCGTCAAACTTCTCAATGTGCCTCTCACTGTGTGAACCCAAAGCAGAGAGCCAACAATAACACACGGCCTCACTTCTGAATCCGACTAACGTTTTATCTGAGGGTAAAACCTCCAAGGCTTGGGCTTCTGAATGAGGGGAGTTGCTGCCCCGCTATGGAGACGGAGGCAGCAGCATCTTTTGTCTCCTCCTCCTGAAGCCAGCACAAGTCTCTCTTACTCTCCTCCAAAAGGTATTAAACGTGGATGCAGCGCGTTTTATCCGCCCTGTGCTAGTGCGCCGGGCTGCACCTGCTGGACCTGCTCCATCACTGAGCTGGGAGTTAATGTAAACGGCTGCTCTCACCGTCTCATTCATGCACGCCTTATGTATTCAGCAATAAAGCGAGCCATTAAGAGCCGGACTGCTTCCTTCCTCTACTGTAGCCCTTCCATTTCCACAGTGTACACATGCACTCCAAATAAGAGCAGTTTAGCCGTAGCATCTTGATTTTTTCCACCCAGCGAGGAGGAAACAAGCCCCTCTTAATGAAACGGCACATAATATTTTCCACACATGCCCAGGATGCTACGAAGCCGAAGTCGGCTTCCCATTCGCCCGCTTCTGGTCCGAATTTCCCCGTTCCACCTTAAATGATGCAGCAATACGTTCTGCCTCAAGTGCCAGAATGTAACTGCTGCACCATTTAAGGTGGGACGGGAAAATTCGACTAAGAAGCTGGCGAATAGGAAGCCGGAGGATGCAAACCGCACATCCCTGCAGCACACGCGCATTTACCTATTTCATTTTCGCCCAGTGGACCGGGAGAAAAGGGAGAAAAAGCGGGGGTCAGTGGGGCGCACCTGCTTGTGTGGTATCCGTGAGGTCGTAGCTGAGTCCCGGGTAGTCGCGCAGCTTCCTGCCGCTGATGTTGAGGATGCCCGAGCAGACGGCGTCCTCCAGCGCGCGCTCCAGGCTCCGCGCCGTGTGCAGCGGCTGCTGGTGCTGCAGCACGCCCGGGTTCCAGTGAGGCACGCTCGGGTAGGGCTGGCCCTGCAGCGCCGCCACGGTTCCCGCTCCGCCTTGACTCGCCGCCATTTTCGTAAAAGTGGATGCGTGCGCGCGGACAATAATAACAGGGGCTTCGTCGGCGCTCCGCCCATGCGCAGTCAGAGAGGAAGGAGCGCGCGGCGAGACGGTGGAGAGGATTGGGGCGGAGGGACGGCTGGAGGGGGCAGGCACCGACATAAACCTAGAGGGTTTTACATTTAGAGTGTACTGTTATGCATATAAGTACACTCTTAAAAAGGTGGTACTTAAAGGGTTCTTTATTAAAGGCAATGGTTCCGTTTAGAACCCGGTTCTATACAGAACCATTTGCATTCTTAAATGGTTCTTTGTATGGTGAGATTGTTCCTCAGATTTTCTGATTTTCTCTCTTCACTGAACCTTTCTGGAAATGGTTCTATATAGTTATAGGGTTCTTGACACTGTAACAGTAGCAGAACCCTTTTGGTGCTATGTAGAGCCATTTTCAAAAGCTTCTATATAGAACCATCTACAACATATTCTCCATCAATCTGAAGAACCATTTCACCATGCAGAGAACCATTTAAGCATGCACATGGTTCTTTGAGTATTCATGTTTCTATGTAAAACCACTGTCTTTACTAAAGAACCATTCAACAACCATCTTTTTTAAGTGTGTAACATGCAGTAGCATTTAGTACCGCACAGCATGGGCAGGCACTGCACAAATAAACCAAGATTATTTTGTTTTTGCTGGGGACAATTATGCATTTGGCACCGTACAGCATCCTCTTGTACCAAGCATTTAGTGCTGTGAGTCATAGGCAAGTACTGTTGGTCACGCATGTAAACAGACAGCATTGATTTGCACTTATTGTGCAAGACTGAGAATCAGAATTAGAATCAAAAACACTTTATCTCACCAAATATGTTTCACATACAAGGAATTGCTATGCATTTTATACCATATATAATTTATTATTCATATTTTATGAGGCCTACCACGTTTTCAGAACAGTGCAGCATAGGAAAGACTGGCCTTTATATACAGCATTTAAAAATGCCAATTTTAAATATTGCACCTCATCTTTACAAAATCACATACATGCATATATATATATATATATATATATATATATATATATATATATATATATATACACCAATCAGGCATAACATTATAACCACCTCTTTGTTTCTATGCTCACTGTCCATTTTATCAGCTCCACTTACTATATAGGTGCACTTTGTAGTTCTACAGTTACAGACTGTAGTCCATCTGTTTCTCTGCATACTTTGTTAGCCCCCTTTTACCGTTTATATATATACAGGACCCCTATGGAGCAGGTACTATTTGTGTGGTGGATCATTCTCAGCACTGCAGTAACACTGAAGTGGTGGTGGTGTGTTAGTGTGTGTGGTGCTGGTATGAGTGGATCAGAAACAGCAGTGCTATTGCAGTGCTGAGAATGATCCGCCACCCAAATAGTACCTGCTCCATGGGGCTCCTATGTATATATATATATATATATATATATACATATATATATATATATATATATATATATATATATATTCATACATCAGTGGAATTTTCAAATCTGAGGTCAAGATTTCAAGATTTGATTAACTTTTTTGTATTTTTTCTGTTAAAATGTCTTGATTCTGCAGGGCTCTAATTATTTTGATTAGATAAATAAAAGTTTAAAAACTGAAGTTTTGCCTGCCATGCAAACTGTTTAACAGAATAGCAACTGTCTACCAAAAATTGCAACCCCTAGAATTTACAAGCTACTTTTCTCCATGCACCATTTTTGGACAGGGGCTCAAGGAGAGAAAAGGGCACTCTGAAAGTAAACAAATGTTAATTTAACAGCACAGCATAGCAGACACTCTTATCCAGAGAGACTGTTTAAGAGGAAGGCAAACATACTGCTTGGAATGTTACAACCAACCTAAAATTACATTTTCAAACTCCTGTATGTGGTGAACATAACCACTACATTACATAGCCAGTATGAACAGTATGAATTTGTGAGTCATAATTCTCTGAAGGCAGGTGGTCTCTCCACAGTGCCTCTGTGTTTTTTACAGTAACGAAAAACAGGTTAGGAAGTGATAACTGTTAATATTCGGTTGTGTGGTTGTATGAAATAACACTTTCCTAAGACAGATATTATCAGAGATATTATCGGTGCTTTTACGGGCAGAATTTTCAAAGCTGTGGTGATGTGTGCATTTGATTGGTCGGACTTGATTGAGGCAAAATCCAGAGGGAGTTGCCCATGAGCAATAAAACTTGCAGAATCCATACTGGCCCACTCTATTCCCTGAACAAGGCCATAAAATATGGCAGAGACCTTCAATAAAAATTATACATTCTGGTCAGGAAGGCACCAGTGAAGACTGAGGGGAAGAGGGCCTGGGCTCACATGCATGTGCCTGCATTTGAGTGTGGGTGAGTGTATGGCGCAATACCCCAATCAGCAGTAGCACATTTGCTATACCTTGATACAAAACATTGTTTCTAACATTATTTTTTTGCATTTTCTACATTGTAATTGTTATGCCCAGAGTGCTGTGTGATACTTCTATAATGATCTATAATATTTTCGCTTCCTGTACTATTCCTGCAGCACTGTCTTATAGTAACTTGTGTAGTTACTGTGTAGATTTCTGTAGTAAACTATATTAATTGACTGAATTTAATTTTAGAAATCCTGTGAAAATTCCTGTGGTCCTACAAAAGAGGGCCCACAGCTCTGTCGCTTTTAAAAGATGTATGATCAAAAAGGATGACACTGAGTATGTATGATCAGTGAGAAAGAGATTCAGTGTTAACACAGGCATTGTCACGTGCTTTGATCCCAAAAGCCAGCCATAGTAGTGACACATTTTAGATCGCAATGATGTGCAAAACTGAGTTAGCATGTCTCCAAGTGTTTGCAGTCACATCCTTGCGTGAGGTGTGTTGGTGGCCTAAGGCACCCCACAGTTTTTCAGCGAGACTATGCATCAATACACATTATTTGACTTCAATCAATATGTTATTTGAAACAAAGTCCACAAATCTTTGACTACACAGCAAAACATTAAAAGCCAAAAACAGCAAAAAGCACTTGCATCTATCACACCTAGTTCTGAAAGCATTAACACTAACACATTAACTAGTTTAGCTAAATTAACGTTATCGAACAAAAGCAAAAGTTCAGCAAATAACTTACCACATATAACGTTATTTTCTGGGCTTGCTTGACATGGTACCTCTGCTTCAGATGGCTAAAACAAAAATGACAAACATTATCATCAGTGTTACTCTGAGAATGCTAGGACAGCTGGCCAGCATTAGCTAAACTGGCCTGGCTTCCCAAATAACAGACATTTTTGGGCCGATTCTTTCTCTCCTATATTGAGTGTTGGTTGACTACCGGGCAGATGTTAGGCTGTGGGGCAGAATAGGGCCAGATCCTGGACAGCCTCATTCAATTCTGGCATGAATGTTGTGGACCAACAATGTAGTTGGGCCAGATTGGGGCCAGATTTGGGCCATATCTATTAGTTCTACTCACTTTACAGTGAGTGGGTCAGATCTGGGCCGAGGACTGGGCCAGAACAAACCAAGGATGTAGCCCACAAGGAATTCCTTGTGGAATTCCTCAAAAATGCATATGTGAACCAACTCACGATAAACTGGATTAAAGGGAGATTCTACCGATGAACATTTCTGTATAGTTAGTTACATCATTAAAATGTAAATAAAGTCATTCAGAGTGGATGGTGTGAATTTTTCACAGTGGTGATAGGAACCAGACTTCCAAAGTGTTTCGCACCTCTTAAAGCTACATCATAGACATTATAAATTGCTGCCTGGTGCCTGAGTTGTTGTTTCTACAATAGTTTTGAGGTATGATTTACCACTATGTACCTTTTTCCACATTACATATTGTGGCGTTGCGCCACTGGCTGTGCTTCTATTGGAGCTTGTAGGAGTGCATGCAAAGGACCATAAGAAGAGGCTCATCCCTGCTGAAAAAAGCAGCACAGACCAACAAGCATTCCATGCTGGTTCATGCTGGTTCATGCTGGTCTGGTTCTGGTTTGGCTGGTCACCACAGCATGATCATGCTGGTTAACCAGCATCACAACACAGCATATGCTGGTTTTGGTGGTGATCAGCATATCAACTTCCACTGGTGCTGACCAGCACACCAGTAGCCAAAATGCAACGTATGCCGTTTTGCTGGTGACCAGTCATACTGGTCTTTTCTGTTTTTTCTAGCAGAGATGGGAGGCTCACACTCTCCTTAAAAAGAAACTGTTATTGTTGTTGTTGCTGTTGTTCATTAGATGGAGATGTGTTTACTGTGTGTTTATGTGTTTACTGTGTGTTCATGTGCCAGTTGGTGGGTTCAGTTAGCCTAGTTAAGTGTCTATCATAGAGTGGAATTTTATGACTGTAGGTGACCTTCTCAGGTCTTTCGGACATCAAGCAAGTGTTCAAAACAAAAGGCCTTTTTAGCAGAAATGATGGCCTCTCCAGACTCTTCTTCTGTATGATGCTATGACATAAAAGCTCAGATGACATGTAGATTCACCAGTCATTTTGGATAGTAACTAAAATGGCTATATTTTCATTGCAGACATCGCAACCCCTGGTTCCCGTCACCACCGCTGTAAATAAATCTCTAAGTAAATAAGTCTATAAGTGTCTCTACAATAATTTGTATCAAACCACTCTGAATGGAATTGTTTACACCTCAAAAATTAATGTAGAAACTTTGAAAAATCAGTTGAATTATTCTTTAATCACTGATTCAGCTACATAAACTAACTGAACTGTCATTAGAATTGGGGCCTAGAAGCTTTGCTGAGGAAATACATTTCAACACATTTTAGTGTGATGGACTAACAAACAGCCACTAGCATCAAAAGGGAATTCCACCAAATTTTAAAGATGTAAACGAAGTGATTCAGAGTGGATTGATCTGAAATGGTTCATTGTAGAATGTAGAGTGGTGGTGACTGGACACAGACATCTGAAGAGTTTAATGTCTCTAAAACAGGGGTCACCAATCTTATCCACAAAGGGCCGGTGTAGCAGCAGGTTTTCATTCCAGCCAAGCAGAAGCTCACCTCATTTAATACTCAATTTAATACTCAATTGTTTAAAGACCAACAGTTTAATCGAGTGGAATCAGGCGTGTTTCTGCTAGATTGGAATTAAAACCTACAACTACAGCTATGTGGATAAGACTGGTGACCCCTGCTTTAAAAGCTCCCTCACAGAAAATGATAACGTGAAATGCTACGCACATACATTACACCATGCCTGAGGCATTGTTTTACAAAAGATACTTTTGGACATCAACGTTTATTTATTTAATCCATTTATAGCAGAGAGACACATGCAGGGCATTGTAAGGCATAATAGTTGTCAAAGTAACTGATTCTGTGGAATTTCCACTATTTTGCCATTATCAACATTACATATAAAAACTCAGATGTGTAGATTCACTGGTTGATTTGGATAGTAAATAAAATGGCTGTATTTGTGTTGCAGACATGGTGACCTCTGGTTCCTATCACCACCACTGTAAACAAATCCAAGTTAGTACGTTTCTCTACAAGGAACCATTTCACATCAGACACCTCTGAATGACTTGTTTACATCTCAGTCACTGAATTATGAATTATATATTTGAAAAAATCAGTGGATTCCCCTTTAAAAATCAGATATACACCACAGCAGCGGTGGGGAAAGCCAATATCGGTCATTATGAGCCACTACTGACTCTGATCAAGCACTCTAGCTGGGTCTATTTGACTGATTAGACAATGCATCAAACCTCACGGGTATCAATTTAATGATAAGGTACGCCTAGTTGGAGATTGAGAAGATACTATTACCCTCTTCATATACAGTCCCATTTCTCAGAATATTTTCCACACTGCACTTCCAAAAAGATATCAAAAAGTGTTGCAAAATCAACCATTTCAAGTGGTCCTCAGTGTCCCCTGCCCCCATATTGTTGTCCTCTGATGTACCCTGAAAGATTAATGTGGTCTATTTTAGCTTAAAAGATTGATGTAGCTTAATGTTGCCTTAAGAATAACACAGCCTAAAAGACTAACGTATTCTAATGAAGCCTGACTAAAATAGCCTGAAAAGACTAATGTAGCCTAGTTAAATATAGCCTGAAATACTATTTGTTAGTGGGTTGTGTTCTGTAGAACGCAATCAGCAGTAACGCCTTGTTTTTCTTTCTTTTGTTTCATGTGGTCACAGGTTTTGTACGTGTGGCTGATGTGGCTGAGAGCGTTCATGGCAGCTGAAGCCCTGAACAGGGTCAGCTGGAGGCCGGAGAGTGCACTGACTCACTGGAGCCTCCTGCTGTCTGCAATTAGTCTTAAAACTCTAGACTCGACAGTAGAAAACATAGTACTAGTAAGTTATAAATTAGTAGTATTTGTTTGTTGTATATCTTCAAATCAGTATTAAGTAACGCTTAATAACTCTACAATAAACTCAACTTGCTTTAAAATAAGTCACGGTTCTAGAAAGGAAAGTCTCTTTGTTTATGACTAATAAAAACAAACAAACAAACAAACAGACAAACAAAAAAAGCTTTAATGCAACTCCCAATATCAGAGAAGTCATAATTTAGAATTTAAGTCCAGATTAAAACATTTTGTCTAGGCTAGTATTTACCAGCGCTCTCAGAAATAAAGGTACAAAGCTGTCACTGGGGCAGTACCCCTCTTGTCATTGGGGTGGGACCCTCAAGGGGACATCTCAGTACCTTTAGTCAGGGAACATAACTGTACCATTATCCACTGAAATTATATTTTCTAAGCTGTATTGACTCCACACACCCCGTCTCGTCTCCAGGCTTTTATTTTATTGTTCTGTTTTAAAACATTCGGTTATAAAAAGATACAAATATGTACTTTTCACCTGGAAAAACTTTTTAAAACATTTAAAGTGCATAATTGGATCTTAAAACCATGGTTGTACCTTTGAGGGAACATTTACATTGTTTGTACCTTGATGAATGAAAAATGTAGCACAGAACCTTTATTTCAAACAGTGTAGTGTATTGGGCTCTTTTTTTCCGTATAGTTTGTAATTGTGCTGTTCTTTCATTTAGACCTTCGTATTTTATCTTTTCAATGTGTTACTTATATTCCTATGTAAAGCCCAGAATTTGTTACTTGAAAAGTGCCAAACAAATAAAGATTTACTATTTATTGTTGTTGTTTGTTTGTTTGTTTATTTACACATTAAAAATTAGGTTTAGTGCGGTCAAAAAAAGTCATAGTTCTAAAAAAGGTGTTTGTTTGTTTGTTTGTTTGTTTGTTTGTTTGTTGACATGCACACACAGGCTTGTTTTGAGAGAGAGGCGTTGGCATTGCCTGGGCGAGAAATGAAAGTTGGCAAGTTTATGTAAAATGCACCATTTCATATCAAATCACTTTGCACTTTTTACTTTGTTCACCACATCCAGCAGAAGTTTAATGTTTCAGCATCTCAGATCAGGACAGTCATCCATGCAAAGCTGAACAATGAAGACAAACTTTCGAAAAAAAGACACTGTGTTGCACCAGTTTCATCCTTTTAGACTGAATTCAGTTGTTTGAATCTGAATCCATTGTTTTCATTTTTAATTCATGCTTAGATGATTTAAAATAAAATGATATCTTTTAAAAAAAAATCACATAACCTGTAAATGAACTGTGACAATACATTTCATTGGTTGTAACTTTGATCTTCTGTATATTTTAATTTTCTTTACCATTTATTAACCATAAAAATGTTTAATGCAGCTCATAAATGTAGGGTTGCAGTTGTTTTTGTGGATTCTGCCGTTATTGAGTATGTATTTACAGTAATGTAAGCATCAGTTTGTTATTTCACTCATATTGCTAAATAATCAAATTAAATGCTTTTGTATTGCAGTTGTATTACATTGTTATTGTATTTGGACTGCATGCAGCCTGCAATGATTTTAGTACTTTATAAAAATGCACTTTACTGCAGTTTAATGCATTTGTGTTTTATTTTCAAGGAAACATGCAGTACTGTCACAAAAAAAAAAACTGAAATAATTTTTTGTAAGGGACATCTTGCTGAATTAGTCTGAAATTTTGAAAAATCGTTGGCGTTCCCCTTCCAAAATGAATGGTGAGTCACGCGTCCAACAGAGGGCGCAGGTCTGCAGTCCCTCCCTCACTCACTCTCTCTCTCTCTCTCTCTCTCTCTCTCTCTCTCTCACTCACTCTCTTGGAAAAGTTGTGTGAGCGTGGTGCTATTTCGGGCGGCTGTCACGCTGGCCGGTTGATTCCTGTCAGGACTCCCCCTCCACGGCTTCTCCGCTTCTTCAGCACTTTCACCACGAAGAGCTACTAACCTCCAACTGATTCGGCTCTCACCGAGACCTACAGCCTCGTTTGCGTCTGTGGGACCGATTTAGCTGGATAAACAGTGAGGAAATATCTCGGGAGGGTTGGGAGCAGAGGCGAGTGAGCTAAATTAATCCAGTGGCAGGAATAACATAAATATGGGGGACGGCCAAGTGAGGACGGAAATGTCTGAATCGATGGAGGAATCTCAGTCCAGCGGAGCGGACAAAATCGACATGTCACTAGGTCTGTGTGGCGATTATTTCACGCGAATGCGACACTTAACCAAAGTTTGTGGCTGTTGGCTTCCTGTCCGCCAGCTTTTTTTTTTATTCCAATTTTCCGTTCCACCTTAAATAGCGCAGCGGTTAATGCACAGTTTAAGGTGGAGTGGAACATTAGAATAACAAGTTGGTGAAACAACTTAACTTGAGCTTTATAGTTTGTACCGCAAAGGCTTCCGTATGTGTGTGAACGCTGACGTTGTGCGTTCGAGTCTGGTGCATTAGTCAGCTGTCAGGTTTCAGCTGTTGCTCTGCGTCCAAAACCTTGCTAAACTATATTATACATACGATACATACTATATTAAGGAACGTGCTATTAGTGGTGATGTACTAGTTTGGCCTACTGTGTAGTACAGTAGTATGTTTTTGATGAATGTGCTGATAAATGTGCTACTATTTTTACGTACTATTTAGTATGCTAGTATGCACACAGTAGTATGTAAACATAGGACACCACCATTAGTAGTACATTCATTAGTATAGTAGCTACATATGCAGTGGGTGGTTTTAGAGGCAGAGGCCTTGTCAGACTCAAACATTCCTCATATTCCTCAAATTCCTCATCAATCTGTGCTGTATGTTTGAATGTAACCCTGGTACTCTTAGTTTTGTTTAATTCTGGTGGGTGATAGTCACACCCAAAGGAAAACTTAAGGTGAACTTTTATTTTGTCTCAGAGGAAATAAGGCACATCTCAGTACTGTAATAATGAAAGATATCCAGATACTCATGTAGGCCTTCTTTATCCCAGGATTCCTTTAGGAGAAAAGAGGAGCATAAGCCCTTCATTGATTCACATTCTGGAGTGTAACTGCTCAAGTCCCACATTGATTTCAAATTGGACTTAACCCCTTAAAATCCCAGGCATGTTGCATACTGAGGCTGATTATTCAGTAGCTACAGGGACTTCAATCCAAACTGGCTGAGCTATTCTTGGGTTATAGAAGTGTCTAATAAAGCTTTGGGCCTGCTGGTGGGCCCTGACCATGTAAGGGTTAACAGGGTCTAGAAGCGATTGAAGAGATTATAAGATTTTTTTTGAACGTCTCTGTCCTCTTGGCAGTTTTCTACTAACTGTGAGAAGCAGCAGCTAATAAAACAAAGCTCTTCCCCCAAGGATTGACGTGTTTCCTGTCATCCATGCAGTATGGCAGACACCTGTTCTTTCAGTCAACAGGCGAGACTTTTACTGATTCAGCTGTTCACAAGTCCCCACTGAGAACGGGTCATTAGCATTAAAGGGAAATTCCACCAGTTTTTTTCTGCATAATTTGTTTGTTAAGATGTAATCAAAGTCATGTGGATTTTTTTTTGGGGGGGGGGATTGATAATTCTAGGGAAATTTACAGACTTGGGTTTCCTTACTACGTTGATGATAGGAACCAGGGGTCACCATGTACGTAATACAAGGATAGCCATTTTGTTTATCTGCAACCTTGTGATGCTACATAAATCTTTTTGTATATAAAGTTTATATGTCGTGCTAACATGGTGGTAAATCCATAAAAATCATTTTTTATGTGCTATTGTTCCTTACAGTGCCCTGCATGTATTTCACTGAAGTAACTAGAGGATGTCAGAATTATGAAAAAAACTATGTATGAGTCAAAATTTACATGTAAAACTATTGTAAAAAGGCCCAAGGCAGTTGCAGTTTCATATATTACCTTATTGTGAGTTAGATTTTAAAGCTCTTTTGACCCTCACTGCCATTTTGCACAATTCTGGGAATTTTCCTAGAATGGTGCACTTTTTAACAAAATGATCCAGTTTATTTTGTTTACTTCCCTATGTGGAAATTATTATAACATTTGAAAAAATCATCAGTTATCTCCCCCCAAATTTAGGGGAGAAAGTCCAGCTACAAACATTTGTAGATTTTTTTTTTAAACTTACAAAAGTATTTGCTTTCAGAATGGATGGGCGATGTGGCAAAAATATAAAATCATGATACTTGAAGAACACATGATATGCAACATGATATATTTTTGTTGGAATAGACAAAAAAGAACCAGTAGTGCTACATTTTTACAGGGCACTTATCTGTACCTATCCATTTTTCTTTAGTGTATTATTAAAATAATTATTGTAATATTATTAGTGTGCGTATATATATATATATATATATATATATATATATATATATTAATTAAAGTAATGCTATAAAATATTATTATATTAACATTAACATTAACATTGCTTAAAAACAACTGTTTTTTGCAACTTAGTTTCCCTATATGGACCATATGGACTGAAGAGTGAATGCCATGTTTTGACACTTTAACAGTGGGTACCAGACGTCATCAAATAGATTTGGCTGTCAAATTCTTGCAGAGCACATACTATTTGGGTGAAACTAGGGAGGTGCGCAGGTACTTAAATACTCAGTTATCTGTGTCAGTGACAGTATTTAAACACTGAAATCACTGTTTGGGTGTGTGTTGCGTTTCGTCACTGGAAGACGGAGAAAATGGACCTCAAATTGTAATTCCACTAAACCTGTTACGGCACCTGTTTGTTGAAATAGGGCATGTTATCTACCCTTATTTGACAGCCACACCTACAGAAAATACTATTGGTGTCAGTACATAAACTGAGTTTTTCATAAAGAATATTTGTGATTTGTGTAGGCTGTGTTCAGTAATGTTCACCAGCCATGCGTCTTGTGCCAAGAATGCAACAGCGTTAGAGGTTTGTGTTCACACAGCTTAATAGGTGTCGGGAAACCACGTAAGCAAGTCTATCAATTTTCTTAACAACTTGACATGGTTTGAAGTGTGTAGGCCTGCTGGTCTTGGCTGGGTGTCTTGGCTTCCTTTATTTAGGGCATCAGTCCTGTAAAATTCTATTCAGTGCCTTTTTTTGATCCCCAAGTTCCCTTTTTTTTTAAATCTTTCAATTGCCCTAGAAATCTTGGCACTTAACTTTGTACTACATTCATTGAATAGATAGCTATGCTCATTAGAGTTGCAACAATTAATTGATTAATCGATTAGTTGTGGATTATTGAATTATTCGCCAACTATTTTGGTGATCGGTTAATCAGGTTGAGTGATTTTCTTTTTTTCTCTTCTTTTTATTTCTCTGATTCCTGCTTCTTAAAGTTTAATATTTTGTGGTTACTCCTCTGTGACACGAAACTGAATGTCTTTGGGGAGTGGACAAAATAAAAGACATTTGAGGACATGATCTTGGGCTTTGGAAAACACTGATTGACATTTTTCACCATTTTCTGACATTTTATAGACCAAACAACTAATCGATTAATCGAGAAAATAATCGACAGATTAATCGACAGTAAAAATAATCGTTATTTGCAGTCCTAATGCTCATAATGCACTCTGAGGCACACAGATGTCAATTTAAACTTCGTAAGACATCTAAAATATGAAAATGCTAAAACTCTGAGATATTTGGTGTCCAAAATGTATTTTTTCCAGAACAGATGACCAAGATCCAGGACAGTCTAGGATAATTCTGTATGGGTGTCTATCCTGCTTACATCAATACCATTTTTTCAGACCAAGTACAAGTATGGGCACATATTTTTTAGTACAGAATTAAGTAGTTATTAGTGTAACTGTGTAGTTATTAGTGTAAATGAGTGCAACCTTAACAGTTAAATCATTAAAAATTGATTTTGAAAATTGAACTGATTTTAAATGAAGTGGTGTGTTAGCTAGCTGTGCTAGATAATTTAACACTACACACTTAAAAGGGTCTTCAAGGGTTCCCATGAACACTCATGCATGATGAAAGGGTTCTTTGCATCATGAAAGCGTTCTTTAGATTAATGGAGAATGTGCTTTAGATTGTTCTATATAGAGCTTTTTTGAAAAAAGGTTCTGTATAGCACCAAGAAGTGTTCTTCTGTTGTTACAAGCTTGACATCATAACAATAGAAGAACTCTTTTTGGTGCTATATAGAACCTTCGTCATGCAAAGAGTTCTTTAAGTGTTCATAGTTCTATGTAGAATAATTTTCTTTACTGAGGAACCCTTGAAGAACCATCTTTTTAAAGAGTGTACCTTGGATTGAGTAGCGCTGCAGTGAAGAAGACAGGTTTTGTTCTACGTCAGAAAAGCAATTCTGGGCACTCTTTAAAAAAATGGTTCTTCCAGGATTCTTCAGTAAAGAAAATGGTTCCACAGAGAAACCTTGAATACTCAATGAAGCTTTTGCATGATTGAATGTTCTTTGCATTGGAAAAGTGTTCTTCAAATTGATGGAGAATGTGTTGTATATGGTTCTATATGGAAACTTTTTGAAAAAGGTTCTGTATAGCACTAAAAATGGTTCTACTTTTGTTATGATATCAAGCTTCTTAGTCCTATATAGAACACTTTTCAAAGAGGGTCTGTATAGAACCATCTATGACACATTCTCCATCAATCTAAAAACCCTTTCATGATGCAAAGAACCTTTAATCATGCAAAATGGTTCTATATAGGAATAATCCTTTACTAAAGGACTTTTGAAGAACCACCTTTTTAAACAGTATACAGCTGTATACTGTCTTTCAACAGCAGTGTCTGTAGCTCAGTGACAGCAGGAGTCACATCTGAGACTTAAGAATTTATGTGTTTTGTTTGGCTGGTTGAGCTGTAGTTCAGCGTCCTTTAAAGCCACTGTACACTGTGATTTTAGACATCTTGTTCTCTGGTGACTCTGTACAGTTGAAAAAGACCATCATGTATGGACAGAGCCTATGATTTATATATAAACACTGTACAAAATGGACAAAGTCTATGATTGATACACACACACACACACACACATATATATATATATATATATATATATATATATACTGTACAAAAACGCTTTGTCCATGCTACCTGAAACGCAGACTCTACAGACAGCTGTCTGTGGACAATGACAAAAAAGATATTTCATTCAAAATAACATGCTGTGCACCAAGTACTGAGCAAACATGCTGAGAAACTGATGCAGCAGTGCTGCTAATGCTGATACTGAAGCTAAAACCAGGTGTGGATGTACACAGGAGGACAATGCAGTCTCTCTACAGCCTGTTTTACAAAAAAGTCAGTGTATTAACGTTTATATCTTGCTATTCTATTCAGTTACACAGAAAAAAGTCAAATACACAGACTTTGTTTTTTATAGGCTTTGTGTCTTTACAAGTACTGGGGAAACAGTTGTGATTGTGTGTTTAAAACAGGCTAAGATTGCACAGTGTATTCTTGGTGGTAATATACCAAGGCAGAATGTTTAAAGTGACCATGATTTTGTGTCCGAATGTGATAAAGTCAGTGACACCTCTCCATGTGAGCAGAGCCTCTTTTACTGCAGTTGTTCTTTAGCACAGCAGTGTACACTCGGCCTGCGTCACACAATATAAGCTGATCTCGGAATGTTGGCATCGATATTGACTCGATACCCAATACCAGTATCGGTATCAATGCATCCCTACTGCTTACACTACTTAATACATACATTAGTCTCATAGCTCCAGTGCAAAGCAAACTTCAGACATTTATTGATTGATCATCTACACTTCGCTGCTACTTTAACTCATTTTACAAAGATGATTACAAAAGAGTAACCATTTTATTTTTCTGTCTCCCTAGACGATATCATCAAGTTGAATAAAAAAGAACAGAAAGCAAACAGAGCTGCGTTCAGGGCGAGAAACAAACGTGCTGCAAACAAGAATAACGTCCTGAAGAAGCTGAGCCAGGCGCCACAGACGCGGAGAGGGATCAGACGAGGGACTCTGCAGTACCAGGGTAACAGCAGCAACAGCCATCTGACTGTCTGTCTGTGCATCTGTCCAGACTTCTATCTCTCTGTCTATTTATCCATCCTATTAATTGCAACTCTAGTGTCCCATCTATCCAAGCTTCCCATTCCCTTTCCTTTGCAAGATTTGATTAATTGAGTCTGTCTGCACTTCTAAATGGATGATTATTCATTGGTTGGTTTGTGCTGTAGGTCCCAGCAGGTCACGTGGACTGAACAGAGCCAGAGGTTTGAGCAGGAGAGGGTCACTGAGAGGCAGCGGCCTGAGCCCTCTAAATAGAGCTTCTGCCAGTACAGCGGTCAGTGTGAGAGAAATCAGACATATGGGAAAATTAAGACTTCATACAATAATTATTTGTAATTTATGAAACTTCTTGGCGCAAAACAAATTGACAAATAAAAAAATTACAACAGAAAATCCAGAAACAATGAAATCTAGAAATGAAACACAAAACCAGAAACAACAGCAAATCCTGAAATGCTATACAAGCCCATCAGCAAACAAAAAGTGACAGCAAATCCAGAAATGTGACAAATTTAGATATTCATTGCAAATCTAGAAACACATCAGTAAATGTAGAAATGCACAGCTAATCTAGAAATACATCAAGAAAGTAATTCAAATTCAGAACATCTGTAAATCTAGAAAACCTAGAAACACTACACAAATCCTGAAACGCAGCAGCAATTGAAAAAACGTAACAGTAAGTCCAGGAACGCAGCGCAAATCCAGAAACACAACCGTAAATTCTGAAATGCAACAGTAGATTAAAAAAAAACCCAGCAAAGCAGTTATGTTTAGTTTGTTGATATATGTTGAGTTTTTGTAAATGACAATAATTTATTAGTTATTATTGTTTATTTATTATTCATCTAATTATGTAATCATTGTAAATAACTAATTACATATTAAATGTAATGTATATGATTACATGAAGGTTGTGTTGTGTTTCTCTCTGCAAGTTTACTGTATTTTTGTATTTTGCTATATTGATTACTGTTTTATTATATATGTATTACCTAGAATTAAACTTTGAAATTAAGAAATTCCATTGCAAAGCCAGGTTTGACACAACAAAGGGAGAATTCTGTGTAACATTTGGGGATGTCTTTGTTTCTATTAAGACACCAGAGCAGCTGGGTCAAAATACAGCGCCACAAAGAGGTGCGTTTCGAGGGAGAGGAAGAGGAAGAGGAAGAGGAGGTTTAAACAGGTATAAGGCTCTCTATGTATCTAAAACAGGTCTGTAGCCTGTTCACACTGGAATTCAGAATGGTGTCCAGTTAAAAGCTGGCCTTTCTTGACACAGCAGTGGCTAAAGATTCTCACTTTGTATTTAGGCAAATTCTGCATGTTACAGATTTCTGCCTGCATCATTTATATAAACACATCACACAAATTAATATTTCAGATTTACCATGATGAGCACTTTTCCCATTAAGTTATTGCTTGTGTTCTAGGGGTGCTTTTTCAGCAAGAGGTCAACGAGCTCCCCAGAGAGGTGGCAGGGCATTTACATTAGACAGAGGGGTAAGTTATTTAATGCTAGGAGATAGAGATGGTCATTTTAACCCTTTCTGGTAATCAGATATAAATCGGATTATAAATGAAGACTATTCCAAAGTCCAAATATGAAAACATTTACATTGTTAGGAATAAAGAATGGAAACATGGAAGGTTTACCTTTCACTTATTGCAAGCAGTTGTAAGCAACTATCATAAGAGGCGACCCGTACTTGATTATTCGATTGGCTTAGTGATTATTAGTGATGTTACATTTTGTGTTATTACATTAGTTATTGAAAGATAATTCTTTGCACTTCCTTTTGTTTTACAGTTTGTAGCTACGAGAGGAGCTGGCAAATTGGAAAGGTATCAGAAAATAAGGAGGTATGTTTATCTGGCTCAAAATAAATGCAAGTTTAGTGTCCATGAGTACATTATTCATTCATCTAACACTATCTCTCTCTCTCTCTCTCTCTCTCTCTCTCTCTTTCTCTTTCTCTCTTTCTCTCTCTCTCTCTCACTTTCTCTCTCTCTCTCTTTCTCTCTTTCTGGAAAACAGTCGGACAACAGCGTCCTCTTCTGGGACAACACTGACAGTGTCGCTGCCCAATGCAAAATCAGCAGCTGCAGCTCCGTAAGCATTACTCCATTTTCACATTGTGTTAACATGGTGCTACAGTCATAAAATACCTTTTGATAACTGCTCTATTATGCCTTATGTCACAAAAAAGTCTAAATTCCTTTCTGCCTGGCCCTGTGTCTGTTTCTTTATCTCTCTGGATCAGGCCTAAACGTGGTGGCGCAATGCTAAGAGGCAGGTCATCTGAAGATGCAGGCAGCGCCACACCCAAAGGCATCCAACTCCGTTTTAATTACAAAGCCACGACAAACCAGGTGAGTGTACACACCCACCATTACCACCAGCCAAACTGCCAGAACCAACCAGCTTGTCTTGTTCAGCCACCTCCAAAGAGGTTAGCTTTGCAGTTAAAGTGAGAACTAGTAGGGCAGGATCAGAGAGACTTGAGTGGATTAATTTATATCAGGGGACCCAGATATCAATAACAGACTTTTTTTCAGTCTGTTTAAATAATTTTGATTAGGTGATTACGTAATAATTGTGACAGGCCTAGTTTAAGTAGCCGTTATGGATATAGCATACTTGATGGCTCGTTCATTCTGTCCTAGATACACAAGAAGTTAATCAAGGAGTGCATCTCAGACTGCTCTTCTGTAATAGCTGTCATCCTTTAGATCCCAAATGAATCTTGGGGGCCCATTTCTGACTGCATATAAACCGTCTTCTTATTTATTTTCTTGCCCATTGATCTTGTGAATTCAGTCGAAGGTCAGCATGATCATGTGACGTTATCACTATTTTAATTGGCTGTTTCATGAAACTTGTCTCACGAAATTGAGAAGCTTGCAACTGTTGCTGCTGAGTTTCAAATGAGTTCTAGGACACTTTACATTATGCAACTCAAGTACAATTTAGTTTCGTGTAGGTTTCAAGCAAATAGAATTTCATAGTGTGAAATCACTGTTTGATCTTTTTTGTCTTTGTTTTCCAGACTGGATTATCACTGCATGATCGTTTTACAAGCCTGAGGATCAGAGGGCGTGGTCGGAGAGCAGAGAGGGGAAGTGGGAGGGGGCGAGGAAGAGGACAGATTAGAGGAAGAGGAAGAGGAGGAGAAAGAGGAAGAGGAGAAAGAGGAAGGGGCATGCTAAGAGGTGGGATGGCCACAGCACAAGGAGGAAGAGGCAGAGGTGGAAGAGGAAGGGCAGCAGCACGGGGAGCAGGCCGAATGGTCATTCTTCAGTGATTCTCACAACATGGGCTGCCATGGATAAAAACTCGCGCCAATGCATTAATATTTCATTAAATACAAAAGTTATAGGTTGTAGGAAAGCTCCTCAAGTGGAGCATAGATGTATTTACCATCACTTTCTAATGGTTTAATCATTCTATTTCTGTACCATCGACATCATTTGAATTTGAAATTGTGATGGGTCTGGAAAAGCATTTTTAAAATCACCAACGAGATGCTGTAATGAAATGTTTGTCAGTACCTTTAATGTCATTTTTCAATGAATAAATGTTGAGAATTTGACATATTTTAAAACTATTTATACTTACAAATGAATGTTTTTAGAATTGAATACACCTCAAAATACAATGAAGTGCCTCAAAATATATTGTAAATATATTTTTATTTGTTTACATGATTTGCATTTGAATATTTCCAGTAAGACAAAAGTGTTTTTAGAGTATTTCAAATGTACATAAACTGAACTGTATGACTTAAAGTGATGTCAACAAACCCAATTAAAGTCAACTATTTTGAAAAATTCTGATGTTTTTTCTGATATCTGCAGTGGTTAGTAAACTAGTAAATTTGAGCTGAAACTCGGTAAAACTCTTGTTAAACTAAACTGAGGGCCAGAATGAGTGGAGAGAACAAGATGGTGCAAGAACTGTCCCACAAACAACACATCATTAGTGAACTGGTGAGATGACATTTAACAACATTGATTGCCAGGCATAGTTCTCCAAAGTATGAGCATTGGCCAGAACGTAAGGTAAGCCACGCATTTAACCCTTGTGTGATGTTGATGTTTTTGTTACTCAGTGGTCTGGTGGACACACCTCATTATTGTTTTTTTTAAATCAATATAGCCATAACAATTTATGTAAAAATACCAGATGTTTAAAATATCACAAGTGTTCAGGGTAGGGTTCTCCTTTAGCAGCTGTAGCCAGTCAGCAGCCTGACACACACACACACACACACACACACATATATACAAACACAGACACACACACTAACAGCAGGCCATGTAGGAGGAGAACAGAGCGAAGGGACACAGCACCTCCACAATTTTATTCCCCACAGGTTCAGCCCAACACCACATTTGTAATGTAAATGTGTAGTGGGTGAACAGTGTGAAGGCACTGAAAATGTGTTATTTTATATGTTCTTCACAGAAAATGAGCAAAGGCCAAGAAATCTGGGATTTAAATAATAATAAATTGCATCATTTTTTCTTTTGGTACACTTTGAAAACGGGTCCCACAGACCCCAACACCACACAAGGGTTGAAGTCAAAATTCAGACAAACCCCTCATGTCTCTCCAGCTGTACTCTGTATTTGACCTTGCCACTGTCGACTAATAGACGTTTTAGTACACTGTAAACCACATGAACAGCCTATCATTTATTGAGATAAGTAGCTGACATGGTGCTTAATTATTTAAGAATTTTAACAGACACTGACTGATTTGTTGAGAAGACCAGTTTAGTTTATGTTGCTCAGAAAAACCGCTGTCATGTTTAACAATAAACCAGAAATGACATTTTGCAAATTTGAATTGTTTGGATGATCCATGCCTTAAGTTCATTTCGAGTTCATTCTTCTTAGAAAGAAGTAGCACTTCTACTGAAAGATTTCTTTCTTGGCGGTTTTTGTGCTTCTTCATTTATACAGGTGCTGTGACTTCTTGTAGCTCTCTTTATGATGGCTGGCTGCTCGGTAACCCTTCTGTCTATGCTCCTTCATCCTGCTAGAAAAACCAGCACAAACCAGGATGCTTGAGCACCAGCTAAACCAGCGTAAAAATTGGTTAGCTTAGGAAGTTCCAGATTCCTCGTTGCTTTTGACTGACAGGATAGCAAACTTACTGAAACAACATGTAGGGTGGGTAGTGTGTTCTGATGTTAAAGTTTTAATGACATGTTGTTCACCTGATTTGGAATTTTTTATGGGTAAATGTAGGCCATTTTACCTTCCCAGAGCGAGTGCCTGTGTTACTTTGGTAGCTGTGTACATTCCTCCTCAAGCACTCAGGCGAATAAAATATTGGACCAATGCTATAGTAATGTACCACAGGCATACCATGCAGTTAGCAAGAGTCGTACTCAGCCAAGTGGATCACAAACTGATTTTTCTCATTCCCAAATATCATCAGTGATTGAAGGCTGTTAAATCCACCAAAAGGACTATAAAGAGGTGGTTGCTTGGGGCAGTAGGTATATTAAAGGTCTGAGTGGACTCCAGACCATGATTTGGACTTCGAGATGCTTGCCTTGATTTGAGTACACAGATGCTATCACTTCTTATAGTAATTTTGCTGAAAATGTTTGCATTCTAACAAAATCTGTTACTGTATTTGGAAATAAAAAGCTCTGGCTTACTAAGGATGTTAAGGCCCTCTGTATTAAGAAAAAGCACACTTTCAATGAGGTGATTTTTGTGTTTCAGGTGAGCTTTGTTTGACAGCTAGATATAGAAAAAGTAATGAAAAAACTTGAACACAAGGGAAAATTGAAAAGTAAGCTAGATGGAAAAACTGTGGAGAAGTTTGGAAAGGTATAGACCAGATTATAAATTGTAAAAAAATGTTAATGATGTCGATTCTGACCTCCCTGATAAACCGAATAATTTTATTGTTGATTTGACACATCGTGTGCTTGTCTTCCTTAGAATGATTCTAAAACTGCAGAACATCAGGTGAGATTCCTCTTTAGTTGTAAAGAAAACTGTAGAAAGCCAGCATTGACAGGTTATAAGGTCCCTTTAAGTGAGCTGTGCATGTGCCAATTCTTAAGAAAACTAACATCAATATTATGGAGAGATATTGATATGATATTTAGAGCCATGAGTTCTATTTAGAACCATTTCATGTTTAAATTGTTCTTAGTATGTTGAAATAGTTGTTTGGATTGATAGAGAATGTGGTGTCTTTTTTGAAAATGGTTCTATATAGCACCAAAAAGGGTTCTGCTGTTGTTGCAATGTCAAGCTTGTAACATTAGAAGAAACATTTTTGTTGCTATATAGAACCATTTCTAAAAAGGTTCTCTACATAATTCTATATAGGTTTTCACAGGTTGCAAAAACTTTCATAAAGCACAAATTTGAAGCACTGGAATGTGAAATCTACTGTAAATGGGAAATATTTATGATGGTTAGACTTATAATTCAAATTATTTTGTAAAAGAGTGACTGTAGAACAGAAAATAATTTCAAACATTCAATGATAGTTAAAGGAGTATGTCAGCAAAATTGCTAACCCTGAGAAGGAGGAAAGAAGTACTAGGGGATATTTATGGACCATATTTATCAGTAATGTGACTATAATGATGTGGGATTTGTTTATTGTCCTGTTTTAAAAGTTATTTGAAATGGAGTCAAATAACTCCTGGAAGGCCACAGATCTGCAAAGCTCTCCGTCTTCAGATGCTGTGCATTCTGTGGCACTACGGGCACTATATGGAACATCTTGGAAACATTTATACACTTCTTTTGATAAAGAAAGTCAAGGGAAATGCTGGACAGCCAAGTGTGTGTGCCTGAAAACAATGGAAACGAAGCATTCCAGTGAAGTCAGTGAGGACGTCCTCAAGCGCAAGCCTGTGCCTCCCTCTCATTCACAGTGCTTGGGGTGTGATTAAAAAGAGAGCAAACAGATACACTGGATAATGGTTGGGATTAAAACCAAAGAGGTCCTGATTACTAGGCAGATGCTTTGACCGGCTAATACACTGTGCCAAAGTCTTGGAAATCACAGAGCTCCTTGAGACACAAAATTCCATGTCATTATTTGATGAGGCAGATCCTGTAATCCATCCATAAGACTCACATACAGCAACCCTGAAAACAGAGGTAAAGGCACAGAGAAAGCTGAACAAACCAACTGTTTAAAAACTAATTTGGGCAAATCTGGAAAAATTATTTAACCACAAAATGTCTGGTAATAAATAAAGCTAAAAGGTACTGCTGGGATACGAACTCAGGAGCCCCTTTTGAATAAGAAGGCATTTAACCAAGCCATGGCTCTACAACCTTCAGAGTAAAAAGGGACTTCAAGTCACAACACTCCTCAAATCAAAGGATCTCCTGTTTACCAGATAGGTGCTTTGACTAAATACCTACAGAGTAAAAGGAGTCCTCGTGCTGCAGTGCTCCGTATTGCTCTTTGACAGGCTTTTGAGCAAACAGTACAAGTAAGAGTAGCCGCTGGGAGTCAGACCCAGGCTTTTCTATTGACTTGAGCAGCATTAAATCCAACAAAAGCCTAACTTGAGCAACTCTCCCACAAACGGTTAACAAAATGGACAGACGCAGTGGATCCTGTAATCTAACCATAAGACTCACATAAAGCATCAGAAAAAAGAGGTAAGGCCACAGAGCAAGAAAAACAATCATTTGTCCAAAACCTAAGTGGGCTATTTATTTATATGCGACATTCCTGACAATCTTGGAGAGACCTAATAGCCACCGTTGGAATGCACATCCAGGACCTGCGGTGTACTAGGCAGCCGCTTAGACCGACTAAGACAGTCGCTTTAATAGTGGAAAAGGTGACAAAAACTGGACTCTGGCAGACGACAGCAACGTAAGGACCGCCCTTTCGCAAAAAAGCTGATTTCTCCGTGAAGGCCCTACTGATTACCTTGTGAGTTGGATCAGGTGAGTGCAATGACAGAATGCAACACTTCACATACTGGGGTCCTCCAGGACTGCTGGCTAAAAGTCCTGAACCAAACAAACACTGAGTAGTTCCTGGATCTGCACGCTTTTCTAAAATTGGAAGCCGTGGGATGAATGGTCCCAAAACAGCTTCAAGCCATTGATGTACATCGGATGCGTCGGATTCTTCAACTTTATACAGTAGGGACTCTTGCGAACTCATACACCCATCTTTTGATGCACAACTGGGGAATGAAATTTTGGAACAGCGGCCAAGTGTGTGAGTGCCTGAACGCGGAGGAAACAAAGCATTCCAGCATAGAGGGTGAGAATGGCCTCATGCACAAACCTGTGCTTCCCTCTCTTTCACAGTGCTTAGCCTGTGCTTAGGAAGGGAGCAGCAGACACAGGGGACTCAACTCTCGCAAGGTGAGAAAACTCCCGACTCTGGTGGGACTCGAACCCACAACCTTTGAATGGCCTCAAACCTATGTCTAGAAGTCCAATGCGCTATCCATTGCGCCACAGAGCCCATAGGACGCTGTCAAAATGGCGAGGGAGCCGTCGTTTTGATGCAACATGCCTGAAAACGTTTGCTATAAACACCAGGCACCGCTGGGATTCGAACCCAGGATCTCCTGTTTACTAGACAGGCGCTTTGACCAACTAAGCCACGGCGCCGCAGCCTGCAGAGCGAAAGGGGTCCTCGTGCTGCAGTGCTCCGTATTGCTCTTTGACAGGCTTTTGAGCAAACAGTACAAGTAACAGTCGCCGCTGGGAGTCAGACCCAGGCTTTTCTATTGACTTGAGCAGCATTAAATCCAACAAAAGCCTAACTTGAGCAACTCTCCCACAAACGGTTAACAAAATGGACAGACG